CTTTCTACTTTTAGTGGAGACAGGGTCTTGCTCTTGCTCAGGCTGGTCTTGAACTCCTGAGCTCAAACAATCCGCCCGCCTCTGCCTCCCAGAGAGCTGGGATTACAGACGTGAGCCACCGCGCCCGGCCCCACGAAGGGATTTTGACAGGCTCAGGTTTTGGGTCTGTGTTGCCCACAGGCTGAGAGAGGTAGACAGCGCCAGACCTCAGGCAGCAGCTGGAGCCCCACTGCCCCACCAGAAGCTGCTTCCTGGGGCTGGGCTGTGGCTCCTGCACTTGGAGCCCGGGCTGCAAACAAGCGGGGTGGGCCCCCGCTGAGCTGGCGCCTTTCTACAAGGACCCGGGACCGCCCACCTCTGTCTCTGCTTCGGGGGCCACTCCTATGACCTCCGGGCCGTTCAGCTACCGCATGACAATTCCGTGGGGGAAGGGCTGCCCCCACGTTAAAGCGGGGGCTCCTGGTTGTGGCCCCCCTTGGGTGGCAAGGTTGGGCAGGCCCTTCCCGCCCCGCGGTCTGCGGCCTTTCTCTTCCCTGGTAGCCGCCTCGCCCCAGATTAAGGAGCCCTGGCTCCCCCTGTCCGTCCTGCGCGGGGAAACCTCTCCTCCTAGCTTCTCTCTGCACTGTCACTCAAAAACCGAGCTGCTGGCCGGGGCACGGTGGCTCACGCCTGTGATCCCAGCACTCTGGGAGGCCGAGGCGGGAGGATCGCTGGAGGTCAGGAGTTCGAGGCCAGCCTGAGCAAGAGCGAGACCCCCCGTCTCTACTAAAAGTAGAAACAAATGATCTGGACAACTAAAAATATATAGAAAAAATTAGCTGGGCGTGGTGGTGTAGCTCCTGTAGTCCCAGCTACTTGGGAGGCTGAGGCAGGAGGATCACTCGAGCCCAGGAGTTTGAGGTTGCTGTGAGCGAGGCTGACGCCACGGCACTCACTCTAGCCTGGGCAACACAGTGAGACTCTGTCTCAAAAAAAAAAACAAAAACAAATCCTCCCGGGCCCCTGCCAGGGAGGGTGGGGCTGGGGCCAAGGTGCTGGGCCGGGGCTGGGCCTTGCTCTCTACAATGAGCCTGCTCTGGGCCTCCCTCGGCCCCTCTGCCTGGGAGTCCTGGTGCCCCGGGCTCCCGGCCCCACACCCACCATTCCTTTCAGCTGTGCCCTGAGCAACGTGAAGAAGGTGTCCCTGGAGCTGGGCGGGAAGTCCCCCCTCCTAATCTTCGCGGACTGTGACCTCAGCAAGGCCGTGCAGATGGTAAGGGCTGGGCCTGGGGGCACAGAGGGGACAGGCACGGGGGCAGGGATGGCAGGGGGACCTCTCTGTCTGACGGACAGGCAGACCAGCCGTGCGAGTCTGCCGCACCGTGGAGACCACTTTCCTGTCTGCACGTAGTCTGTGATCGCAAGCTAGAAACCTCCAACATGCACAGTTAAATTCCTCCCCAAAATAGAAAAAGAGCAAAGCACAACTTTGCTGCAGGTGGCCGTGTACACACGTGCCAGCTTGCTGGGCAGCCTTAAGCGAGTCACTTAACCTCTCTGGGCCTCTGTGCTCCCACCTGTGTGCGATAGGGACACGGTGACATCCACCCGCTGGGGCTGGGCAGGATGAGTGTGTCTGAAGGGATGTTCCCACCATCAGTGTTGTTATCGTTGCTGGGTTTTGGCCCCCTCTTCGCTCCTGTGGGAACAAACCACTAAGGCCACGTTCAGCCAGGTGCCCAAATATGCCCCCAACCGCTGTCGGAGTGCCTTGGAGGATGGGGAAACCGAGGCAGGCAAGGACCTTGTTCGTTGTCCCTGGGTGAGCCCGTCAGCCCTCGGGTCTTGGCCCCGGCACCAAGGCCGAGGCTGCTGGGCCCCGTCACTGGGTCAGGAGAGCTGGCTTTGCCCGCTGCCTGGTCACCCACCGCCTTCGCTGTGATAACACACAGCCTGGCCACCCCTCCGGTCAGCTCCTGACGGCGCAGGCTTGAAAACAGGAAAGTTGGCATGTCCTGGGCCACCCCAGCAAGCCCAGCCGGGACACAGAGGGGTCTCCGTGCTCCACAATGTAGACGGCAGCCTTGACCCCCTCGGGCCTCAGCGTCCTCACTGCCCACACTTTCGCCCTTGTCTCTCCTCGGAGGAGAGGCCTGGCCGCCAAGAGAAGGTCAGGACGGCGTGCCCCCCCTTTCCCCTGAGAAGGGGTGACCGGGCCCTGGCAGAACCGGGGGGCTGGAGGCCCTAGGAGTAGCCGTGACCTGGTCTTGTCCGTCTCTGAAGGGGATGAGCTCTGTTTTCTTCAACAAAGGGGAGAACTGCATCGCCGCCGGCCGGCTCTTTGTGGAGGACTCCATTCACGACGAGTTTGTGCGGAGGGTGGTAAGTCCCGCCCCAGGGTCTGGGGGCGCTGCTGGCCCGCTGGGACGGCAGCCTGGCTGAGGGCGCTGGAGGAGGGGAGGCGGGGCTGGGTCTTCCCTGGCTTTTATGATTTCAGCAGGCAACAGCAAAACCCCACGGCTCGAATTGACATAACCAAAAAGGGCCCATCGTAGGCTGGTTCCCTAGAAGCAGAGCCTGAGGCAAGGATTCAGGTGCACACGCTTTACTAAGGGCAGCTCCCAGGGGCGCCCTGGAAGGCGGAAGGGACCGGGAGAGAGTGGGAC